CTTAAATAACTCATGCTGGTGTGGCCAAATGGGTCCAAATCAATCTAAGGACACTGGCATAAGCCTTCACTGTAGGTGTGTCTGACCTTTGCACTGATATTTTGGTTAATGAACGCATTCAACTAAACCAGTGTGTGTTCACGGTGCACTAACCTGGCTAGATTGAGTCCCCTGCCACTAGCAGAGGACACAGTTCACAGACTGTCCCTTGGGTTAGGAAGGGCTCAGAAAGCTTCTGCTTTCTGGGTTACTTTACCAAGGCTCAGATGATGTGTGAGAGGCTCACAGTGCTGGTTCTAGCATCCTTCCTTAGGCAACCTAGCTGGGAAATCAACCATCTCTTCACCAGGGCAAACTGTAATGCAGACTTGACCAGTACATGCGGTAGACATTAAACAATGTCCCTCTGGCATTCAGAAAATGAGTCACCCCAGGCTTGCTTGCTTATTGCTTGTTGAACCCTCATGGACTCTCCAGCCATTGAGGGCCTTTGACCTCAGACTAGACTGGCTGCCCTAGAGCATGTTCTTTCTTGTCACTAGAACTCTAACCAAGAGTCACAAAGATGTAGGGCAGAGCCCCAGAGCAGAGACTGGCATTTGTTCCCCTGACAGATCCCTTGTGGGGACCGATCTGAAGTTGAAGATGGTTTTGCTTGTATTCTGGTCACTCCCTGAGCACGCTGGGCTTTGGATCAATGTGGAATGCGTCACTGAACGGTCTATTATTCACTGAGCGCGATGTGCGCTTGGAGACACAGCAGCCCTCAATAGAGGCTCAATTCTGCCGCTGAGGATCGAAGTAGGAATGAGCCAAGGGAACAACTCTACTCCATTACATGACACCAAAATGTTGCTTGTTTCAAGGTTATTTTTCATGGCAATTTCCAGTTGTGCATTGCTCCTAATTTAACTGCCACCTACAAAGTCACATCCCTTTAGTAGGGTGCAGGAGGCATCTCTAACTTAAGCTGACTGGCCCCCTTGCACCTAGGCTTACACTTGAATAAGCGCAGCTCATCCAGTGCTGCCATGCCCAATCTCCACTGTGGGCCCATGGAGCCCAGTAAGGCCCAGCAGCTCCACAAGTGCTTTCCCACTACTGCTGTGGTGCCCGCAGCCTTGGGCCAGTTCTCCCACAGAGCATGTTGCAAAGGCACACAAAATGGCAATAACCAGCAGGGGCAGGCCCACAAAGGAGTGCAGAATGAGAGGGCATGGAGGCCTAATTCGCAGCCCAGAGATGCCAACTCTAGAGAAGTTCCTTGTTCTTCTAGGGGAGGCAAGGGAATGCTCTAGCTCGCTGCCAAACACCTGTATTGACAGCCACTTCCAGTAGGCAGTTGCCTAATTTTCTTTATAATGGGACAATTTATTGCAGGTTATAAAAGCACTTAGCAGGGGGGGAGCTCCAGCTTTGGGAGCCACTTTGATTATGTCTTTCTGAAGTGCTGTCTTTCCCAGGAAATCACAGAGGTCAGCAATAACTTGTGCTTGTTTTTCAGCCCCTTGCTGGGGTGATTTTCATGTGTTTTGATGTGGTTGTATAGTTTTATGTGTTCATCTTTGATTTAATTGTTCCCGTCCATTCCTTCCATCTCCCCTGCCCCATGTTCAATGTGCTCCTCTGCTCTAGTGCCTCGTAAGACAGTGAGAAGGAAAGGGGATGCTGGCGAAGGAGGCAGTGCTGGGAGCAGGCTGGAAGGATGGGAAGTCAGCATGAGCAGGTGGGCAAGAGAGACAAAGCAAGGAGTGGTGATGGGAAGGGACTGCGCCAGGGAGTCAATGTGTCAGAAAGCCAGAAGAAAAAGGAGCAACTCATGGAGCTTCTCCTGTGAGGCAGGGAGTGAGTCCTGGTGGAGAAAAGGAATATTTCACTGAGTGCCTGCAGCCTCTGCCTCTGCTGAGAGGACACCAAAGAAAAAGCATCTGAGGACAGAGAAGCCAGCAGCAAGGGCTGAAGCTCCAGCTGGAAGCAGATGAGTTTTGTATAAGATATTTTGCTGTACTGATGAGTTTATGAGTCTTTAGTTTCAGTACCATGAGAATCTATCACCTCTTCAATCAAGTCTTCCTCGCCTGCCCAGCCCAAGAGCCTCCATGTGTAACTGATTGGAGAGGATTGCCCTGGAAGAAGGGGCTGACAAGCCCTCTATAATAACAGGGATGAAGGGACTTCCTTCTCCCACACTCAGCACAGGAGCAAAAATAGATGTCATTCTGCCTCTCACGAGCACAGGCCCCGGGACAGCTGCCACAAGCATGTGCCCACTCGCTGATGGCCCTGGGGCCACCTCCAGCCCACAGAGGCCCTGTGCAGTGAGTGGGGTGCCACTTGGAGGGCGGCTAGCCCTGTAGTGACGGTGGGTGTGGGGGTCTCCCTCCAGGCCCCGCATATTGTCAGCAGAGGACCCACTTCCCATACCCGGTGGGTTGCAGCCCCTGCACAGCAACACAGCTGCCTTCTGCAGCGGGCAGAGACTCAAGGGAATGACCTGGGGAAGATGTGTAGAGGCGCTCAAAGATCAGAAGGAGGCATCTTGGCCCCTGCTTCAGCACACTGCAGCTCCCAGCCATTACCTGGAGATATAGCTCCCATCAGCAGCATGGATAGTCTCCAGGACAGCAATCACTGGGCTCTTGGTCGCTTGAGTGGGCAGAAACCTGAAGAAAGGAGGTCTGTCTCCTCTGATAGAAGCACCAGGGAAATGTTTGGGGAGGGAGAAAAGAGCACGGTGCTATTTCCAGTAAGACATGGCTTAGAGGAGGTGTCAGGCTCGCCTTATCCCCCTTCCAGCAGGCAGAGACCCAAGGACAGTGTCTGAAGCCAGGTCTGGGCTGGAGAGCCTGATCCTTCCTCTGGCAGGAGAGCAGCAGAGCAAGGACATCTCCAGTGCCTAGCAGACTCAGACAGTGAGTGGGCAGGGGAGTAGGGGGCCGGGTGCCATCCCCAGTGCCTGGCAATCCTCATGCAATTGCCAGGGAACACAGCCCTTAAAATCTGCCGTGGTGTCTGCTGCTGGTTGGTAGCATCCCCCTGCTTGCCCACCCCTGTGCTGATCGCTGCCAGAGCTCGTGAAGTGGGGGAGTTATGGGAGACAAGGATGCTTAATTACAGAGCAGCCCTGGAAACCAGCAACGGCAGCGGCACTGTGGCCAGGAGGGGAGGCAGCAGGGCTGTAAATAGAAAATGCGGAGGCAGCCGCGGGGAACAGAGCGAGGGAGGTTTCTGCTCCTGCATCTCTCTGTCTCCCTCCCTTCCCTTCAGCTTCTCTCACCTCTCACAGCTACCCTGGCTCCCGGCATGAACCAACATGTTACAAGTAGCCCCTAAGCATGGCCTGGAAACAGCAGCTCCAGTGCCAAAACAGCCGCTCAGGGCTGAGAAGTTGGTGCGTGAGGCCCCAGCAGCCTCCTCAAGCAGGGAACGCCTCCCGTGGAAATCTGTGAGGAGGCTTGCAGGGCCTCAGCAGCCTGTGAGGAGACATGGGACCAAATTGTCCTGTCTAATCGCCTGGAGCAGGTCACAGGATGCCAAATGTCTGAGCGCCCATCCCACGGGGAAGTCCTTCTCCTCCCACCCTTGACCTCTCCATTACAGCCCCTTCTAAGCAGCAAGAGCTTGGTTTTCAGTATTTTGCAAAGGTTTATTTAAAAATGTTGAAACTAACATCCCACAAGAATTGAATATTTCACCACAAGGAGAAGAGAAATCCTACAAAAATATATATCACAGCGCACAAGGGCAGGGGAGGGAGAAAAGCAAGACTGAGCAGGGACGCAGGAAGCAGAACAGAGGGACAGGATGGGAGCCGTGGCAAAACGCGACAGAATGGCAAAGAGAGAACGAGAAAGGAGTGGGGAGAGCAAAACAGCAGGGGGGGCAGAGATAACAGGGAGGGAGACTAATACAGGACAGGAGGGGGAAGAAGGAAAACGGTGGGAACAACAGGAAAAAGGAGTGGGGAGCTGGCAGACGGTAAAAGAAGCGGGGCCCCCTCTCTTGTCTTGCCAAGGCAGGGCCAGGAGTACAGTGAGACATCAACTGGGGTGCGACAGGGGAGCTGGAGTTTAGCCCAGGGCTTCTGTGCTGCAAGATTCAGCTCTAAGGCTGTGCCACAGACTTGGCGTTCCCGAGTGAAAAGCAAAAATCACGGTTTAATTCAGAACAATCTGAAGGTGATCGCGTTTCTTCCGGGAACAAAACGTTCCTTTCCAAGCATTTTTCTGTAGCAGAAGGGGAATCGGAGATGAAAGGGCCAGATTTACAAGGGCACTTAGGTGCCGTTGAGGAAGAGGTAGATAGCCCTCTCTGAAGCCATAGGATGCTTGGGTGGATTTAAGTCCCCGTGAACTGAACCAGAGGAGAGGTAATAGAAGCACACACTGCAGTCTGCTCCCTTGTCTGCCAATCACGACAAACCAAATGGGAAAGCACGAGCAAGATTTGGCCTTGTAGCTATGTCACTCCCTAGGTAAAGCGAGAGAGAGGCTCAGGTTCCTGCTCCAAAGCAATAAAGGGTGGAGCAGGAGGATTATTCCCTAGATCTTCCCTCATTCCCACTGTGGTCACACAGAGACCGTCCTTTTGTTCCCTTTTGGAGTTCAGCACAGAAACAGTTTCTTTCAACTCACCCAGTGCACCCAGATGTTTCATTTTAATTGGCCAAAAATATTTGACAGGCTCAGCCCAAGTTTACAAACATTTTCAGACGTTGCTCTCCCGCCTCCCCCCCCCCCCAGCTTGCTCTCTGTAAAAGTTCCACTGGGAAAATTAACTCAGCCCTTTCTCAAGTTATCTGGAAGACAAGGAAACCTTGTTTTTGACTGTGAAGATGCTGGCCTCTTTGCTCGGGCTTTGTACTCTGTGCTGTCAACCAGTCCACCTGCGAATGTCACAGGCTATTAGCTTGGACGAGGGAAGAGTACTGCAGGCATGCTCGGGCTCCATTTTACATAGGTGAAGATGCTTTATAAGGTTCCAGGCATGGAGAAAACAGATCCAGTGAGATTATTTATTGACTGGAAGAAGCTTGTATGTCCAGGCATGTTTTGAATGTTTTGTTGCAGCTGGAAAATTGCAGCAATGAAAGTTTGGGCAGGACACTGAACTTGGTTCCCACATCTAACCTATTTCACATGAGATAGTGAAGGACTGTCATAGAAATATATTTGGCTAGACAAATTTGGCTTGGAAAAGACGTTCATCATATCCAAGCTGCTGTCACTGTAGGAGCTTTCTCTACTGCATTTCCCAGCTTCCCCTTTACCACAGCATCCCTGAAGGGTTTCACTTTCTGGAGATGCTTCTAATTGAAAGAGAGACACACTAAAAGAAAACAAAACACCAAAATCTGGTTTCTTTGCAGAGTTTACAAAAGCCTGGCCTCCAGAGCTCAGGGCTTCCCTGCAATAAGTGTTGGAAATGTTCTCACTGTGCCTCCTACGATGCCTTATCACTTTCTTATAAACGTTCTCTCCATGCAGCATGTGAAAAGGTGGAGAGGGAAAGTCCAAGGATAGCCCTTGAAGGTGCTGGAGTCTAAACTCTGGCCTTGTTTCAACGAATGATACTGATCAAAGAACAATCTAATTAATCTGGTCTGGAAAATTTAACTTAAACCAGTTCAAGGCTTTACATTGTAAGCTGCCAGCGATAAGCTATGCAGCCTTTTGCAGGCTGTGTGCAGATGTCCTTTTCCAGCTCTGGTTGTGCTAGCATGAGGGGGGACAGCCCCCAATGTGCCTTCAGCCGAAGGGGGCAGTGATAGCAGGGCAGTGGGCAGAAACAGCTGTCTGCCCCAGTGTTTGTGGAACATCTGTCCATCCCCAGCTTGAATGTCCACCCAGAGCCTCGAGTGGAGCCAAAATAAGGAAAAAGCTCAGGAGTAGATCAGCCTATCCTAAAGCAATAATATCCCCTGCTGTAAGCGGGAACTCAAATGGTGCTTAGGCTAGAGACCTCCAGAGTCCTTTTCCACCTACATCTTTCTGACATTCTGTGATTCTAATAAGCCTGTAATTTTATTTGACCTGTCATTTTCTCCAAATCTCTCCTGTTTTCTGTGAAGCTTATTGTAATTTACACTCTCATTTAAATGTCCTTCACGGTGAGTCAGATGGGATCTGAGATCACCTGGGTAAATGGGCAGAACTAGACCTCTCATGCAACTCCCTGTGCTTTGCTCTATAAAGAATATGCTTCTACTGCATAAGTAAAGAATGAAAGGGCCATTTCCTTTTCTCTGAGATGATGGATAACTTTGTGTCATAGCCCTTGCATGGGGCATCAGGTCCTTCAAACTCCAGGTGAGTTTCCTGTCTCTGAACTCATCAGCCCAGCAACTGAAGGTGTGAGTGCAGTGTGGGGACAACCCGACTGAAGTCTGCATCATTTCAGCTCAGTGGCTGTCAACCTGGCATCTGTGAACTAGTGTGAAGGTGTCCACAAAAGCCAAGGAAGGGCAACTATTGGCATTAAGCTGAAATTTGCCATTTCCCACCCCCTCAGAGTGATGTCCATGGGTACACATCTAGGAAGAGGTTGAGATACACTGATCAAGCTCACACAGGTAACAACAGCACTGATGATGTGGCTATCTAGCCTCCAGACTGCCACAGCCCCTGAATATATGCTCAAACAATTGGTTTGCACCCATACCTGTGCCATTGCTCCTGCTGCTCAGTCAGCTAGGGCAGCGTGCTCAGGAAGGTTGCCCCTCCATGTCTGGTTAAAGTAAGGATATCCTCTCTTTCAAGCCCTTGGTGAATTTTAGCTAGTAGGTCTCCAGCCACAAGGCAGGTATGAGTGTTCCAGCAGTGACCTACCAGCAGTACATGGCAACCCTCCAAATGTTCCCAGATGTCATTGCCAAATTGCTCTTTGTCACCTGAAGTGCAGTCATCTCTGCTGCTTGTTGCCTGTTACATGAGCATTTCAAAGCACTTCCCTACCCGAACCTAGCAAAACCCAAGCTCCTAATACCCAGCTACGTCTGCGTGTCATACTTTAGCTGCTTTGGCAGTAATCCAGCATACAGGATGCTTGCTAAATAATATGATGGGCTTCATCTCAGGTTTTCTGAAAAACATCATCATAGAGTAGAGATAAAAACTTGCCGAAGGAGACTGAGGGGCCTGAGGGGGACAGCTAGGAGGCTTCCAAGAGATCAAAAAATTTGGAAAGTGAAAGGAACTTTTTTTCCAAGCTTAACTGGCAAGAGAAGGGGGGGAGGAAATTGGGGGGAAAAAAAGAAACAAAAAATGGCAGGGATGAAGGAAGATACAGATTGAGGAGAGATACAGACTGAGGAGAGAAAACAGAGGAGTGTTAGACAGAAAGAAAACAGAAAGATGTGACTATTAAAGGTGGCGGGCATGTTTCCTGCAAGGAAGTGGGTTGATGAGGAGAGTCAGGTGCTGTGTGAGCCTCTTCTTCCCCATATTCACCCACTCTTGGGACCCTCCAGAAGGTCAAGGCCTTGGGAACAGAAGAACCTGCCATCACCTGGATCCCTGCTCAGGAGAAACTAAGCCCCAGCAGGGAATTCTGCAGCCACTGAACTCCAGATGTTCACTTCAAAGCACACGACATGGAAAGGGACACACAGAGGGGTTTGGGCCCATGGGGACAGGGGTACACCTTTCCACCTCCCCTGCCCCCAACATCAGGCATGCACTGGTGGGAGAGTCACAGAGATCAAAGTGTGTGTGTGCATGTGTGCTAGGAGAGGGACAGGGGAGGTTAAGCTTTCACAACACCAACAGCTGTCTCCCCTCCCACCATCCCACTCTCTCATCTTCCTGTCCTGCATGGGGTGGGGGGTGGTCCCCAGCCTTCCTCCAGCAGGTGGCTAATGAGGCCCAGCTTGTCCATTGCCCAGGTACATCCTGGTTTGGTTAGTTAGTGATGGTGGTGGTGGGCTATGGCACAAGGAGATTGTTTTTTTCCTGGGGTAGCAGAGGCGACAGAAGTATGTGCTCCCCAGCTGTGACAGGAGGGTGGGGGGAGCCAGCTCTGCTTCTCCCTTGTGCGTCACAGGTTCACCAGTGGGATTCTGGGGGGAGAAGGGAATGGGAAAAGAATTAGAGATGGGAGCTGCTCATACTTATACTGCCCCAGAGCCCCCATTAACCGATGCTGCTTTGTCCGTGTGGGCACTTCTCAGAGTCACACTCCCTTGCTTTTCCTTTGCCTGCCTTTCCCACGCTCCCCTACCACCTCCGCACTCCCTCTCCCTCCTGGCTCACTGATATCTCTGCCGGCACTCACCGATTGAGCTGGAAGGCAGTGCTCTTCCCGTGGCCCCCCAGTTTCTCCATGCCCTCCTGGCCCTGCCTGCATTCCTCTGCCTCTGGTGTGGGGGCCAGCGAGTCGCCGTAGGGCCCCAAAATGCTGACGGTGGTGGGGGACAGGTCCGTGAGGGGCTGCTGGCTCTCCTGCTGCCTGCCCCCGCTCTGCTGCCCGGAGTGACGCCGGCGCTTCTGGTTACGGTCCCAGCTTTGGAGAAAGAGGAACAGAGAGACGAAGAGTGCCTGTTCAGACATGGCTCGACCCTCAGTGATGAAGTGGTTCATGGGACTCCAATATGCCCAGCTTAGGGCTCAGTGGATCCACATGCCAAGCCTCCCAAGGACTTACAGCACCAGACCTGCACCCTTAGGTCAAAGGCCTTCCTCCCTCACCAAAGCACACAGCCCTTGTGCGTACCTGCAAACTTCAACATGCTCTCAGAGCACTGTTAAGAAACAACATCCATTGCCCCAAGTCCCACTCACCAGAACTTGAATATGATGCCAGTGGCAACCAGGACAATGATGATGGAGATGGTGATAGTGACATAGAGCTGGGGGTCCACACCTGTGAGACGGAGAAGGGAAAGAAGGAACGTGAGAGACATGTCAGTCCCTGGAGAAGAGCATAAGAGAAGCCTCCTGCTGGGGCACTTCTGATTTTTGCAGAAGGCACTGCCCCTGCAAGGATGAGTGTGAAAGAAGCAAAGAGCAGATTTACCTTCTCCCCGGGGCCCAAACAAGAAGGGCCGCAGCGTGGCCGGGGTCTCACGCAGGTTGAGCCCTGCATTGTGCAGGAGAGAATGGGAGTTGGGCTGAGCCGTTGCCATCCCATGTGGTGAAACAAAGGTGTAGCCCAGTGGAGGAAAGCCCGGGTTGGCCGAGTTGGCGTCCCCTCCATCCTCGTCCGACACTGTGGGGCCCCACACGATGGCCCAGGGGTACTGGGAGGAGGGCATGCCATCCTCAAAACCGGACGGGGTGGCAGGCCGGGCCCCTGCAGCCTGGCGTCTCAGCCGTACAACATGCCGCAGGTCTGCCCCCCGTGAAGGCAGGGACCGCTGACGCGGTAGGATGAAGCGCAGATCCCTCTCTGGCAGTGAAATCCTGTCCCAGATGCAAATGGGCCGAGGGGCGGAGGGACTTCGACGGGCGCAGAGTGGCCGAGCGGCCATGGGGCCCCGAGAACGAAGAGACCAAACAGCAGGAAGAGGGAAGGCCGAGAGCAGAAGCAGGAAATGCCATAGCTGCAATGAGTGGATGCAGGACACCAGTGGAAGCATCATGCTATGGGGAGAGAAGGGAAAAGAGCGTTATCCAAAACGTCCGTCCTGCTAAAAAGGCCAAGCTAGGAGTAACTGAGAGCAGCCCCAACACCCACGCTCCCGTCTTGTTCCCGCATTGCTGGTTGACGTGGGAAGCTGTGAACCTACCAGGCGCTGGGCTCCATCTCGGATGCAACAATGCCTTCACTCAGCAAGGATCCTCTCTCATGGTCTTCACTGAGAGGCAAAAGAGAGAGATTTAACTGCATCCTCCGCGACGATTACGTAGCCACCTGGAACACCTGACCCCAGCTGTCAGAGCAGTGTAGAGCCCTCACGCACCCGTTCCCACATCTGCCCTCCTTAACCCGCTGTGCCTGCGTGCTCTCCTGTACAGAGATGCATCTCCCCCAAATGCCACACAGAAATGCACACATTAGCATACGCACATGGGAGCAACGAACAGTCTCTCGAGCACACGTGCTGGGACGCATGCACAGGCTCCCTGGAGACTCTCCTGTCTGAGGGCCAAGAGGGGGATTCAGTATCTTTGCTTGCTTATCACTAGAACGACTTGGGATCTTAATTCCTATGTTTATTTATAGTGTAGACCGTGTAATCCATTTATTAAGAAAGATCCTCTTCATTGTGTGTCAGAGTGAGGGAGAGAGAGGGGAAATACGAGAGTGATAAACAAAGAAGATTGTGAAAGAGAGAGTGAATCAGTGAGAAAAGTCCAGCCTTACTGAAGAATTTAGAGCAAAAATATACCTATCAAATATTTAGTATTTACATTCCCCTTGCCTCACATGGAATTACCTTTCCACGCTCCTTGTCTTAGTGTCCTCTCTGCTGTTCCAGCCCTCTCTTTCTCCCCTATTTCTCCCAATTCTCTCCCACCTCCCATCACTGAGTAGCGCTAGGCAGCACAGGTAACACAGAATAAGGGCTGGTTCCCCAGGCTGGATTTCTGCGCTGGTCACATGCCACCCTCTGGCATTGCAGTCTGGCTACAGCCCGGCTGCCCTTCATGCTGTCTGCCCCTTTCCTTGGGCAGGGCACAGCAAAGCCTTGGTCCTTCTCTGATGAGCTATTATGTGCCTGACCCAGGATTCTCCCCACAACAAAGACCTCACACACACACACACACACACACACACACACACACACACACACACACACACACAAAACCATTCAATATGCTCAGCTTATTCCTTCATTGTGAAAGAGAAAGCATGAATGCCGGCAACCCAAATTCCTGCCCTTCTATGGCTTCTAGGACAGAGAAAAGGGGGTACTTGGCCAGGGGAGTTCAGATGGGACCAGGACCAAACACCCTGCTACTGCCAAGACTTGAGACAACTATGTTCTACCTCGAAGCACTCAGAGCCAGCTCCCAAGGAGTTCCTACCATCCCCTCCTGCTTAACCCAAGTGATTAACTAAAGGGAAATGAACCCTGCAGCATCTTCTGAGGGAAGGGCCTGGTGCTTGCTGTGGGTAGAGGGAACCACATCCCACAATGTGCACCTGAGCAGATGGGTCAGGAGGAAGAACACCAACAGGAGCAGCTGCCTAGCTCCTGCCGCATTAACTGGGGATATTTTTAGTTTCTTTCTGTTAAATATTTAAACAAAGTTCACAGGAAAAAAGGAACCATCAGCTAATGTGCCCTGCCCTTCCCTCCAGGGCAAGATCAGTCTATGGAGAGATCTCTTGATATGAAGATGAGGAGAAAGCAGCAGCTATTCTCAGCAATTCTTTGTACTTTGCTCCTGAACCTCTAAGCCTTGGAGGGGACTCGGTATTAAAATGCAGCTGTACAGGGAGGCTGAAGAACGGAGCAAGTTTCTTCCAAAGCCAGAGGCTCCCTTGTGTTGGCAAGATCTTGGTCATCTGGATTATGATCACACTGCTACGGAGGATGACGTCTGCCAATGCAAATCTATGACAGAAGAACTTCTTTTGGACTTTGGAAAAGGAGTGAATTCCAAGTGTCAGGGATCTCACCGCGTGAATCCTAGGCTTGGGGGCACACAAACCACTGGAGTGATTATAAGTTGGCCTGGGATGCCCATGGTCATGTCTGCAACTCCATACTAGACATTAGTTCCCCAAGATAAGGAGCCTGCTGTGCTTGTGGCATGGCCTTATCAGTTACAATCTGGTCTTTGGGGGCATGGACTTTTCGCGCAGGAGCATGTGAATACTGGCAGTACCATCCCTGAAATGGAAATCCTCCCCAGGTATAGGTAAACCTCAGTGCTAATCCCTTGGGGTAGTGTGGTATGTTGGGTGCGTGCACGTTTAAGTGCTAGCATTCCTCCTTGCACAGATGGCTTAGCTGGGAGAGACATAAGTGGCTGTAGGTACACAGTGCTGGTCTGCAAATTCCAATGCTGGCGAGCTGGGGCACCCAGCTCCCCATGCTCTTGCTTGTTGGAATGAATCACCTCACTAGTATCTTGCAACAGAGACCTCGCTGTGCTTCCAGGCTGAGATTGTGAACTCCAGCAACAGCACCCTGGGTCAAGGATTCCCAGGGTTTAAGGACTGGGAATAAGAATCCCTAAAAACCAAATCATACATTACTAAGCCTTCACACCCACTATTCTGAAGTTCAGCCCTAGGAGCAGGTTATGGCTGTAACTGGATCTGAGGAGTAGGAGTGACCCCTGTCACCAGTTTCCTCATGTACACATAATATTGCTATAATGTCAGCCTGACAACTAAGTATAAATCTCAGGAATAGGACACTCTTTTGCCTAGATTCTGCTGCAGATGGTGAAGAGAAGGTGACTCCTGGTGCCTACACCCGAAAACTGGCTCCAGATGAGCGCAGGATTGAGACATGTAAGCATCAGGCAACACTCTATGGTTTGTTGATCATATTGTGACTGGGGACTGAGAGTGTGTCCTGCCACTAAGACACGCAAATGTGTTTTGTGCAGGAGCTGAGAGAAACACAGAGGTGTCTCCCATAGCATGAATACCATGACACGAAGGAGGAGGAATCTGGACTGTGATACGCCAGACAGTGAGAGCTGAACTCCACCGTGCACAGAGGACTAATGTGCAAAACAGAGCGTGGATGTCCCTGTGGCTTGCCAGCAAAGCAGCAGATAAAACATGTCTGGGACATCCTGCAGTTAGACTCTGGCAGCTGGAATGGTGTCTTGGGCACAGATCCTGCTGCACTTGAGGGCAAGTATAACAAATGCCCTTGATTCAGCCCTGTATAAAGATACTGAACAAAACAGTAGATTTTTGGAGAGGATGAGTGGACCCAAACGCTCTTTCGTCCTGGAGGTATAAATCCCAATATCCTTGCACCTGTATTTCAGAGGCCTTTTTGTGTGGGCACAGAGAATGGATTTCTGCACCAGTGCTGCGCGCCACATGTTCTTGCCTTTCAGATCAGTTTCCCAGCTCTAGTTGCGATAGGAATGGACAGGGCTGCTCCCAGGGTCCAAGCACAGATCTGTGTATTTTTGCTCTAGATACGGGGCCTCCACCACAGCGTTCTGGTGACCTGTTATACACAGATGACAGAGTGTGAATGACAAAGCTATTTCCCCAGGGCACTTCACAGTTTGTGAATCTTGGTGCCTAGAAACTGGGAGTAAGAATTTCACTGCTCTTTGCTATTGCCTATTGACCCCACTACAGATCCAGACTAGAGATCCCTGGGGCTCATCTGTTAGGAACTGCTCTCCCTGCATTTGCAGGATGGAAGCACAAATCCTATTGCTGTTCCCCAACAGCAGTGATCCAGCTGTGCTCCCTCCCTCTTGGTAAGTCTCTTGCAGCCTAGACCCACTGCTGCTGGGACTTGAGAGAGAAGATCTTGGCAGCTGTGCCCCAAAGCACATACCCCAGTGCACCAAGGGGGCTGGGAACTGACCTCCTAGCTAAAGCCCAGGAACAAAGCCTGCTGCAACCCTGATCTGAGCAGAGAGCACAGACTAACCCACGAATGTGACACCCGGAGCTCCAGAGTTCAGATTCTACTGCACTCTGGTGACGCCCTAAGATTCACTGTGCACAACTCCTTCTCCATGTCCAGGACTCTTGTATACAGTCGTACCGAAGATCAATTCTATTCAGAATAAAAGCTATCATGAGAATAAAAGAGCTGAGCTGCTAGCCGTGCGCAGGTGACACCAGCTCTGTAGCTCCCTCACATCAAATGCAATCTGTAACCTTCTGTTACAAAATGCTGAAGTTTGACAAATTCAAATGAGGAACAATCCTATTAATAAAGAGGGTCACACACTAGAGCAATTTACCTAGGGAGGTGGTGTATTCCCTACTGCCTGAAGCCTTTACGTGGCTGTATTTCTAAAAGACATACGATAGTTCAATCAGAAGTTACTGGCTCGACGCAGGAAATTAAATTGGTGAAATTCTCTGGCCTGTGTTATGCTGTAGGTCAGACTAGATGATCAAAATGGTCCCTCTGGCCTTAAAATCTGAGAATCTCACAGCTTCCTTGATACCTAGCAGAGATCGGCCTCTGACTGAGGAGCAATTGGATGAAGCTGAACACACACAAGACATGTTAGTGAGAAGCGGGTGGTCTCCTTCCATCTGGGGATGGGAAGCGAGTTGCACCCAGTTCTGTCTGACTCGGCTTGCAGATGATGATCTGTCTGTATTTTTGTAACATCTCGGGCTTGACTGCTGCGATACTGTGCCTCTAGGAATGAAGCCGTCTGCTCTCAGAGCTCTCCAGCTAGTTCTGAATGCAGCAGTCTGTTTGCTCAGCGACTCAATCTGCCGGGAATGCATCACGGTGCTTCTCTGCACCCCACCTTGGCTCTCCTTTGAACACGGAGTCCAGTTCAAGGTCTCCAACCTAGTATTCAAAGCCCAGCATGGGACAGGCCCCAGTGACCTAAGCAATCAATCACCTCTCCTTATGCAGCGATGACCTCACATGACAGATACGTTCCAGTGGAACAATGAAATTGCCGACCACTTTGGGGAGAGGAGGAAGGGATGAAAGAAGGGGAAAGAGCCTTATGACCTGAGGAACAGAACATTCACCGGAGCTGGGCCAAGATTACGAAACTTAACTGCCAGCTGAAATAACGTTCGCCATTAGCAACCCCGCAGCACCGAGCTTCATGCAAATCCTTTCCTTGCCTAGCTCCCCCACAGCAACGATCCCACTCGAAATAGTAATAAAAAAATCAAAACAAACCCGAGGAGGATGCGCCCCTCCTCACAGAGAGAGCGTGTTAGGTTGGCTGTCATTTTTAACTCTCAGCCAGCATTAGGGGCTATGGTGACAGCCATCGATATGAAACTGTAATCTGGGACCATGAAACCTAGCAGATATCTCCAAGCACTGAGCGGACTGAGTTCAGACACTGGCAGAGAGGCCCCCCACACACTGCCTGGTGTCCTGGGGCATTAACCCACACCTATCTTTTTCTCAGTGGGCCAGGACATCCTATAGTTCACGGCCCAAGATGCAGAGATGCTGTCATTCCTGGCTTCGTAGTAGGAAGCATGAACCTCAGCACTGGTGGAAAGGGGTTTTATATCTTGCTGTGTTGGGGATGGGAGGGAAGGGGAGAGTCCCAGAGCAGCTGCCCCTGGGAGGCACTTCTGCTGCGCTCGGGTGAGGTTGGACAGCTAGGAGCATGAATCCAAATGCTGAACTCGGGGAACGAGTTCCCACCGTGTGTGGGGCTTGGGGACACAGCTTGGAAAGCTTGCTGAATTTGGGGGCTGGTAGTCTGAATGGTGGCTCACATCAGGCTGTGCTACTTGGTGTCCGAGCCTGTGAAGGTTGATGGCAGCGCCCAGGAGGATCAGTCAGGACTACTGAGGGCTCAGGCAGTACTAGTGCAAGGGGCTGCGGATCTTGCAGTGTTCAAGATCAATTCCAGTGGGAATTCCTGTGTCAGGGCGCCAGGGCAAGTGCTTACGAGCTGGATATAGAAATCCTAGGCTAGGGCCCTGGGGCATGATCCAAGGCTGGAAGGATGACAGTACCCACAGATTTGGACATTTCAGCGTCTAGGAAACAGGCGTGCTAACCTCGCCAGTGGTGCTCTGAGCGTAAGTCTCTCTGCACTAGGGAACTGTGAGTGCGGCCCCCTTCCAACCAGCCCTCTGGGGTGCCAGTCCCCTGCCATCTAGTGCCTGCCTGCAATACATGTCATGAGTCTGCCAATCTTCTCTCTCCCAGTTTCCTACTGTTCCTGGGCATCCAAGTGCTTCAGGTGCTGAATCTTCACATCTGAGTTGCTATCCCTTGCATGATGCACCCTTGGCCAGGCAGGAGGAGGGATTGACCCCTCTGTTTCCTTTCTCCAGCTGCGCCAATTTGGCTGAAGTCGCCTTTCTCAGCGCAGGCTCCAGTGCTCCAGCACAACAGGTCTGTGATGGAGCCGGGAGCTGGAGGGCAAGAGGCAGCAATGCCTGGGATGCGCTCCCCCACCCAGCCCCCCCGGGGATGCCCTGCTCCAGAGTGAAAGAGGAGGAGAGGGCAGAGAAGAAAGGAGACAGCCTGCTAGAGGGAGAGACAGAGCACCCAGATGGGGAGAGGGAAAGAAAAAGGGGGAGAAAGGACACAGGGAAGGAGATGGGGAGAGATGACTTGTAGACGGGCACACATCCCTCCCTGCCCCTCGCCCCTGCAGCCCCATCCCCGCACGGTCCCCCAAGCCCGGGGTGAGAGGATGAACTTACCTTGCAGGGAGATGAGTGGGGGACAGTCGAGGTGGCGGAGCACGGGGCTGGGGGAGCAGAGCTGCTGCTGCCGATGCCTCTCATGGCCCGGACGAAGGGAGGAGA